ATATTATGTTATATTTGGTTTGGTTATGTTTAGGTTAAGTTAGGTTAGGTTAGGTAACATTTTTAGCTTGAAATTTGACATAAAAAAATTTCACAAAATATTCTGTCGATAATAAGTAACCCTGGCCTTGACTCAAACCATTGATTGAATCAATTGTTTCGTACAAAACATCACTTCATTTGATCCCAAGAAATGGCGAAACGAAGAAAACACAAGAAGACATCACTCGTGACCACAGATGACGGCAATGAAGACGACGGCAGACAACAGGTATTTGACAAACGATTGACTGTTTATTGAGTTTTAATTGAGTTTTTGTCTCACATTTTAGCCGCAAATCTACGCCAAAGACTCTTTCAATCGTTTCTGTGACGACGAGTTTGAATGGATATTATCTTATCTCTCACTCGAAGACCGCTTTCGATTGGAATGTGTGTCCAAACGGTTCCGGAGGACAATCTTCGCGAGTGTTGTGGACATCACTATTGATCGCGCATTTCTCAGTCATTACGAAGCCGTCAATTCGGCGAAGAGTATAATGTTGGACACAATCGCCACAAAGTGTCCAAACATTGGATCCATTGATTGGAGTTGTTGTGGACCTCAAAGTAAACACATTCCCGAAGTGTTGGCCGTATTTCGAGACAAATGTCGACATTTGCGGCAATTGGGCGGTCCTTTCTGGAGACACTTTAGTCTACAATTTGTCCAAAAGTTGGCACAACTGATGACACGAATCCGTTTTATGGACAAACAACTGATTCCAGCACTCATTCATTGCCACCGATTGTCTCACTTGAGTGTCCACTCGTTGTCCGATATCGTCGACACTTCCGGACAACTATTGGCGAAGAATTTGAAGACATTCTCAATGCGTTATTATAATACAGGCGACGAAAGATTTTTGTCCGCATTCGTGGCACACAATCAGTCACTCAAATGTCTTCGCGTATGGAATAACAGCGGTTCTCATGAGACACAACAACTGTTCCAACAATTGTCACATTTTCCACAATTACTGGATTTGACACTCGATTTCATGATAGGCAATGGCGACAACTCATTGGCCGAGTCTTTGCGTACAATTGGCTTAAATTGCAAACAATTGAAACGATTGTCACTAATATTGTTCTCAGATAACGAGAAACTCGACGCCAAGACATTGAATGCGTTGCCATCGTATCCACGACTAAGACGTTTGCTTGTAATACTCTCTCAGCATTTCGATCACGAATTCGTGGAACCGTTGAAACTCTGCAAACGATTAACACATTTAATGCTATATCCGGTGAAATTGAGTGACACTTTTCTGGTTAATTGTGACAAACAGTGGCCACGACTTCAATACCTGCAAATCACTTGCGGGACCGGCAGTGGGTTCACGATTGGCGGCCAGTGTTTGTCACACATCTCAAGACTACGGGCGCTGCAAATGCTTGTCATTGATGGCAAAGTAAGCGATGATCTCAACGATAACGCTTTGAAGGATTTGTTGGCCACAAGACCTAAACTAAAGCGCATTGAAGTCAATGGACGGAAAACCTCAATTGGATTGCCGTCAAAATGAATTGAATGTTTAAACCATTTATAATAACGCGTTTAAACTTTGAGTTTATTTCATTCAATGCATGTTTTATTACTAAAGATTTTTTTTGTTAAATTATTTGTTAGTTTTTATAACATTTGTTGATTTAATTATTTAGTATTTTCTTATATTTAAAATGCTTTAAAATTTTTATATTCAATCTTCAGATATTTTGTTTTGTATAATTACTAGTTTTAATTTATTTACAGTTATATTTTATTTATAAATTATTTTATTTCAATCTTTTAAAAGCAATCTAAAAATTATAATAACTTTAATATAAATATTTAAATAAGTATTTTTACCGACAAATTTTATACAAATCTATGTGTAGTTATGCAACACTTGAAAGTCGTTTACAAACTAGTCGTTAAACAAACAATTTGTTAATTCAGGTGTTTTTTAATTAAATTTCTATTGAATATAATTTTTGCAATAAAATGATTGACAAGTGATGAGTCAACCCTTGAATGCTATACAAACTCATCATAAGCTTTATTTAAATAAATAGTTATTTAAAATAACGATTAGTTTTCAATATATTGGTTGAGATCTCTGAGAGACAGGTCTTTGAGTTGATTCTCGCCGTAATGTTTGACCAGTTTTATGAGTTGAGGACACGTCTCGTCACTCACTTCGGGACACAAAATGAACAAAACTTTGGGTTTCTTTGGCTTCAAATGAATTCATGGCATAAAATGTGTTTCTCTTTGAATACAAACTTAATGTCAAAATTGTTTGTATTATTGAAGAGTTGAGTGAATGGAGAGACAGATAGTGACTGATCTCCCATTGAATGCCTGTCGAAGTCACCATTGGATCCATTCAATGAGTTCATCGTCAAAGTCTGGGAATCATTGATGACTGGAACCGATCGCTGGATGTCTTCGCCGTTAACGTAATTATAATTACCGTTTAAAATACTAGTATTTACACGTCATTTATGGACAACACATACAATAAAACCTCAATTATAGAGAAGTGTCGTTGAATTCAATGTCTGTTTCATTGGTTTCGACTAAAATGTATTGAAATAAGTGTTGAGTGTTTAGTGTATGCCTTGTGTTGAGTGAATCGAAGGTTTGATTCAAAGTTTGAATTGAAGTTTGAATTTCAAACCATTGATTGAATCAATTGTTTCGAACAAAACATCACTTCATTTGATCCCAAGAAATGGCAAAACAGATGAAACACTTGAAGACATCACTCGAGACCACAGATGACGGCAATGAAGACATCAAACAACAGGTATTTGACAAACAATTAACTGTTTATTGAGTTTTAATTAAGTTTTTGTCTCACATTTTAGCCGCAAATCTACGCCAAAGACTCTTTCGATGGTTTCGGTGATGACTTGTGTGGACTCATAGTATCGTATCTGTCATTCGAAGACCGCTTTCGATTGGAATGTGTGTCCAAACAGTTCCAGAGGACAGTCTTCGGGAGTGTTGTGAACCTCACTATTGATCACTTATTTTTCAGTCATTACAAAGCCGTCAATTCGGCGAAGAGTCAAATGTTGGCCACAATTGCCATCAAATGTTCAAACATTGAATCTATTGATTGTTACGCAATGCAAGACAAACACATTCCCGAAGTGTTGGCCGTATTTCGAGACAAATGTCTGCAAATTTGCGGCACTTTGTGGAGAGAGTTTGGTCTAGAATTTGTCCAACAATTCGCACCACTGATGACACGAATCAATTCTATGGACAAACAACAGATTCCATCACTCATTCATTGCCACCGATTGTCTGAATTGAGTGTCGACTCGTTGTCCGATATCTTCGACACCACTTCCGGACAACTATTGGCGAAGAATTTGAAGACATTCTCATTTCATTGTTATAAGACAAGCGATGAGGGATTGATGTCTGCATTCGTGGACCAAAATCAGTCACTCGAATGTCTTCACGTATATATGTATAGCGGTTCTCATGAGACTCGACAACAACTGTGCCAACAATTGTCACAATTACCACATTTACGGGATTTGTTACTCTATTTACGCGTAGGCAATGGCGACAACTCATTGGCTGAATCTTTGCGTACAATTGGCGAGAATTGCAAACAATTGAAACAATTGTCACTAATGTTGAGTTCAGTTAACAAGAAACTCGACAGCAAGACATTGGATGCGTTGCCATCGTATCCACGATTAAGACGTTTAACACTCAGTCATCATTTCGGTCACAAATTCATGAAACCGTTGAAACGCTGCAAAGGATTAACACATTTAACGCTATATTCGATGAAATTGAGTGACACATTGCTGGCTAATTGTGACAAACAGTGGCCACGACTTCAATACCTGCGAATCAATTGCATGGCCGGCAATGGGTTCACGTTTAGCAGCAAGAGTTTGGGTCACATCTCAAGACTATCAGCGCTGCAAACGCTTCTCTTGGGTTACGGAGTAGGCATTGATCTCAACGATAATGCTTTGAAGGATCTGTTGACCGGAATGTCTAAACTAAAGCGCATTGAAGTCAATGGCGTGAAGGTCTCAATTGGATTGCCGTCAAAATGAATTGAATGTTCAACCCATTTATTATAACGTTTATTACTAAAGATTTTTTTGTTAATTTTATTACATTTATTGATTTAATTGTTTAGTAGTTTCTTATATTCAAAATACTTTCAAATTTTTATATTCAGATATTTGTTTGTATAATTACTATTTTTAATGTATTTACAGTTATATTTTATTTATAAATTATTTAATTTCAATCTTTTAAAAGTCAATTTAAAAACTATAGCAATTTTAATATAAATATTTAAATAAATATTTTTACCGACAAATTATATACAAATCTATGTGTAGTTTTGCAACACTTAAAAGTCGTTCACAAACTAGTCGTTAATAATTTGTTAATTCAGTTGTTTTTTAATTGAATTCCTATTGAATCTAATTTTTGCAATAAAATGATTGACAAGTTTTATAAGTCTTGAATGCTATACTAACTCATCATAAGTTTTATTTTATTTTATTCTTAATTCTCATTCAATTATTTTTATCAAATTTTTAAATGTTTTTGAAATAAAATTTAATCGTTTTAAAAATTATACACAATTTATATAAATATTTCACATATTTCATTCAAAGTTAGATTTTAAACTTTAATTACCAATAACGTTAGGCACTTCCCTCACACGTCAAATATATTGCTGAAATATAGTTTTGGGAGAAAAGATATTTTATTCTCTTGAAAATGAAAACAATGAAAATAAGATAAAATGTGGTCAAAAAAATTGGCTATTGATTTAAATTAATTTATAAATCATTTTTTGAACAAAACTAAAAAGCCGCTAATATTTGGATTTAATTAGCATTTATGAATACATTAGTTCCTTCGAAGTTTAAATCTTCCGGGAAATTCCCATATTCTGGGAAGATATTGGTTAAATGTGTTTAACATAAATTAAGAGTAATGTTTGATTCAATGTTTTCGTGAGCACAACGTTTTGCGTCAAAATTATTCATATTTAGTGTCATTTATTAATCACTGATTAACTGAATTCTGTTTCCGTCTTATTTTTAAGTCATATTAAATACAAACACATGCTTTGAAGTGAATATTGAATTAATTGTTGTGTTAATTGTTTGTATCAATCATTTTGTGTGAAAAATGCCACAAATCTATAGCAAAGACTCTTTCGATAGATTTGGTGACGATTTGTGCGAAG